TTATGAACGTGATCTGTTCTAGCTCACAAGTATCAATAACCTGTTTTGGTTATTTGTCTATTGCATTCTAATTTTATGGAGGAAACTCAAATTCCTGCCACCTTTGAAAACATCAGGGCATTAGAAATATTAGATCTCTCTGGTAAGTACAACTTGCTACCCTTTTCATGCTTACATTTTTGAATGTTTCATTCAATATCTGTCAGGAATCCTGGTCTTGGTGAATCATTAGTAAAGGAATTTGATGACGTTACAAATTAGTCATCCTGTCTCTTCCTAAGGCCACTTTATCTGTACACTAGGGTACTACAGTTTTTGTAATTGGGCAGAGCCGACTTCTAAGGACCACTGCCTGTCCATTGCCTAATGGCTAGGCAAGGCAGGCCCACTTTTTACTAGCAATATGGTTATTATTACAAGAGAAAAGTGTTTTGCAGATTGTTTGAGAGTATGAAAAATCAAGACATCTGTTTATAATTTTATTAATTTTTTAATTTTTTTTAAAAGATGTATTTAAAAATTTATTTTGTAAATAATATTTAAAAAAATTAACTATTAATTTAAATATTTTATTCATGTAAATTAAATATATATTGTAATGATTACCATACGCATATTATGATTATTTTGATGTAAAGGTTACCACTAAAAGTCTCATTGTAATTTTTTCAATTTAATTACCAAAGATATAGCAGTCATTAGTTTTCTCTATTTTGTTTCTGAATAAAATCTGACTCGGTGGTAGCTTCAAGTCCCTAGTGTGAAATGTGAATATGCAGTCTCTCCGACGCAATGTCATTATGCACAACTTTGAAAAGAAGAGGGGAGAAAACATGGCAGAGGAGTCAAGCTGCTGTTCAGTGTGCGTTCCATCTGTCTGACTGCATTCAAGATCCATTTTGCAAAACATGTCGACAGGTAAAAAGATTCAACAGTTTGAATTAAGATTCTGTTTAATTCAGTTTGGACACCTTTCGCTGTATAATTTCACAGCTCTAAACACATTCTAAATTCAGATTTAAATTCTAATGACATTAAGTCTAATTATTCAAATGAGATAAAGGTAAGAAATAGATGCCCAGAAAATTAATTGCACTTGCTGCGAACAAAAAGAAAGGAGGTATACTAACCTGAGACCACGGATATTATGGCGTAATTTGAGTCCTTGGAGAAGGTTGATACTGGAGAAGACAAATTTTCCTGGACAGCAAATGCTTGCTAGAATGTCATTCTTTTTTTCTATATATGTTGTCAAAATCCAATAGCATAACCGGAAAAGGCTAAACCCCTTCGAACTTATGCCTTAAAATAGTGTGCCCATTTCGATTGGGGAAATAAAGGTTAAGTAATAACCATGGATGAAAATGAATGAGTGGTCAGACTAAAAGAACATGAACCAAATCCAAATGCCTATTCTACTGTAAAAATATTTTTCATGCATAGTCTCCCCTGACAAACAATACGAAGCATACCGCAATAACCACATCCACTATTATTCGTCAAGTCCATTAAATTTGTTAGAAACAAGTACTATCACACTGTATGGCAAGCAAGTAGAAATGGCACGCACATGTACTTAATTTCTAAGCATTAGTCTGCCACAAGTTTGCAGAAGATGATCTTACATGTTTAAAGTCAACTACAAAAATCTGTGAGTCCTCGGTAGCGGTGCTTGGTGGAATAGTTTTTTGGAGCCATTACCAGACCACGGCCCTTCCTTGCCCCACGATGCACTGTCTCAACAATGTCGATGAACTCCTGCTTGTCCTTGAGAGCCCTGTTGATCTTCTTGTTATTTCCAGTGCCAAGGTCAATCATAATGTGCTTGTTTCTGAAGAAGAACATGACTGTGGATGG